GAGTGGGACACAAGAAGAAAAATCTAAGTAGAAAGTTAGGAGTCAGTACTTGGCACTGGCAAGGACCTCACACTGCCTCAGCCAATGGGGGGAAAGGGGGAGGGGAAGCTGGTGTATGTGGAACAGCAACAAAGTAGAGGGGCCACCTTGCTTTATAACAGACTGCTTTGTGCAACTAACTCAGATGCAAGGAAGAGAATTCACCCACATGAAACAGATATTAATCCATTCATGGGGACAGTTTCCATAATCCAGGTGCTTTCTACAGCCCTGCATTTTATTTTCAATATCATTACAATGGCAACAAAACTTCAGTGTGAGATTCTGGGGGGAAAATCACATTCAAATCACAGCATATTATCGTTTTTTATTTTTTCACTTTTAAAGAGGGTAAAATTAAACACAACAAAACAGAACATAAGAAAGCAATGTAAGAGACATAATTTCAAAGCAAGACAACCAGAGATCTTCACTATCTATCATATTGTCTCTTGTTTTCTTCCAAATATTTGACCATATCTTCACATATAGAGAATTCACATGAAACAACATAGTATAGAATTGATCTGAACAAGATGAATGAAGGCATTTTAGGTCTTCAAGATCAGACAACAGGGAAGTCAACAATGGATGTCATTGTGTCTCTCATTCTTGTCAAAATAGCTGTCCATAACTTCACGTATGTTAAGATTAAACCAAACAAAACAGACTAAAGTCACTCTAAACAAAGAATAATAAATAGCTGGATTTCACATCATGATGCTACAGAATCAGCACTGGGGACTATAATGTTTCTTTTTCTTCAGAGTAGCTGTTCATTTCATCATGTGTTATATGATCAGTTCTCATAAACTGTTTATAAGTTCTACGTATACATAAGTCTCTACATGTATTTCTATCCTTTATGTATTAGGAGAAACAAAACAAAATAAGACAAAACAAAACATATTCGTATAAAAACATGAAATGAAAAAGTCACATAAAACCACAGTACAAGGTGTTCTACAATCATTACTATGTTGTCTCTTATTATCTTGAATAGAATTGTCTATATCATCAAGCATAGTATAATTGAATATACTAGTACATAACAATATTAATAAAAACAAAACATTGTAGATAGTGTAAAACTTCAAAATCAGGTAATAATCAAACCAGGATGGGTATCCTAGTGAATCTTGTCATCTTCAGTGTAGTTGCCTATACTCTCAGACTTGATACTATCAATCATAACAGATTTAAATAAAACCTGTCAATACCAAACAGCAATCTAACAAACCAGATTCAATGAAGATCAATCATGGTAAAACAGTATAAGTTATACAGGGATTCAGATTAATTTAATAGGAAATTAAGAATGACTACCATACTATATCCTGCTATTTTGAGGATACCTGTCTGTGCCCTCAAATCTAGTGCAAATAGACAAGCTGGAACAGAATATGATTTATCTAAACAAAGCGGTGTGAGTAATGTGGGTTTTAAATCCTGATACACTATTAACAATATCCTCTGCCTTCTTTTTTTAGACTATTCCTCCCCTTTCACTCCCACAAGGTGCACTGTGCATTTTGGGTTCCATCAACTCCCTCAGTTTTTAGATTGGCGGGGGGGGGGCAAGATTTACCTAAGTGGTTTCAAACCTTCTCACTCCTGGACTTGATCTCAAGTTGTATTCCTTTGCTTACAAAAGCCTGTCTTTCCAATCTATCTGCAGGTGCTGAGATCGAGTTGCCCCAATTTTTCTCTGGTTCCCTGTCAAATAGAGCATTGTTTTCTCATATTTGATTTTTGGTCCATAAACCCTCTTTCAGGTTAATTATATTTCCTATACAGAGCATTTCAATGGACCCTACAACTTGATCTACTCTGCCTGTGCTTCTTTTTGTTAGTGTATTAAGGCCATTTATGTTAAAGATTATAGCCAACCATCACTGCCTCATTTCTGCTATGCAATTCGTCTGCCATTAGTTGTCTGCTTTCCTCCTTCATTCCCTGTCTGCCCCATTCATTGAGGCCTCTGCCATTGTTTCTGAAATCCTAGTATTTTTTTCTCTTTCTCTAGAATGTCCTTCAGTATTTTTTGTAGGGTTTATTGGTGATCATGAATTCCCCCAGTTCCTCTTTATCATGGAAGTATTTTGTTTCTCCATTAATTTTGAGAGACAGTTTTTTAGGGTACATCAATCTGGGTTGGATTTCAGGACTTGGAGTACTTTGCTCCAAGCTCTTCTTGATTTGATGGTTTGTGTCAAGAAGTCTGCCTTGATTTTAATGGGTTTTCCTTTATAGGTGATCTGTTTCTTTTCTCTGGCGGCTTTTAATGTTCTGTTCTTGTGATTAATTTCTGGGATCTTGATTATTATATGTCTGACTGTAGCTCTGTTTTGGTGGTAGGTGGCTGGAGTTCTGTATGCCTCATACATCTGAATATCATTCCCTTTTCCTATGCTTGGGAAATTTTCCTTAATTATTTGTGAATAGCCTTTGTATTTCCTTTGTTTACTCCTGTTTCTTCACTCACATTTTTTATTCTTAAGTTATAGATCCTCTTGTTGTCTTCTAGCCTTTGTATTGTTATTTCCTGGCTCCTTGTTATTTTTAAGAGAGCTTTCCTTCCACAATCACACACTGCAAATCTGTTTTTAAGTTTTGATTGTCTTTAGTTTCTTTCAAGCAGTTTTGCCAGCTTTCAAGGAGTATTTAATTTCCTGGTAATCTCTTTGAATCTGTTTCATGTATTCTAGGTGTTCTTTATATCCTTTAACAAACATTTCTCCTTTTTTTGTGCTCCTCCATTCCTCCATTCCTCCATCTGTGTCTTCTTGAGAGGTGTTTAGCATTTCTTTTATTAATCCCCTTATATCTTGCCTTACTTGAATCAATATTTCAGTTTTGAGCTTATCTATGAGGTCACAATGATATCTCTTTATGTCTGCTGATGCTGTGTCTGATATTGCATGTTTGCTGCCATCAATTTCTTTTGTATTTACCTCTCCTGGATCAATATTCACAGGTCTGGGGGGTTGGGGGCTTTTTCTTATTTCTTTCTGTTGTCATGTTTTTGGTTTCTTTCATACAGGTGTATAGTGGAGGTCCCAGCCCCTCTCCTTGTAGGTTATGGTTCTTCTGAAATGTGCTGGCTAAGGGATTCTGCCCTCTCCAGTTTGCTGTTGGTCATTGAGGTGCAAACACGGGTGGTGTAGGCTGGTCCCCTCCCCTCCAAGCCAGTCAACCCATGGGGCCATTCACCACATCACTGTGTGCTGTGCATATGGAATTCATTTGGGACAACTCACTAGGTCCTGGCCAAAGGGACCCAGGCCAAGCAGATCCCACCAATCTGGTCTGAACAGGGAGCAACCAATCGAAGTCACTGCCATTCCTAGTTCAGGGCATCTTGCCTGATTCCAACATGTTGTCCAATTGGTCACCTCTTTCCCAGGTGAGGGTCTTATTCAGAGCACTCCCCATGGGTTAGTACAGGCCTCCACACTGGCTTCTTTCTCCAATCGGCTTGCCAACCCCCAACTTCAGCCCAACCATGGCTCCATCAGTGAGCATGCTGCGATTTTGAATTTGGGTGGCTCCTGTGAGAGCCCCGTGGCTGTGAATCTGAGCTGCTTCGATGATGGCACCACGACCTCACATTTGATCAGCTCTTTTCCCTTTGGTTTCTTCATGGGTTGAGAGGATCCGTCTCTCCTCTGGACCTCTCCAGGATGTTTTATTCCAGGATCTAAGTTATTTCTCTCAGGAAAGCTCTGTATTTTGCTGTTTACTGATCCACCATCTTTAGCTCTGCCCACAGCATATTATCTTAATGTACTGGAGTAAGGGTGTTTTCGTCAACTTTATCCAACATTTGTTATTAGTACATGATCAGGAGACAGTATTTTTTTCTTAGGAATTTAAGGTGAATAAATCAATTTGAAAGTAAGTACTTTTAGTCTGGTCCTCATTTTCTGGGAAGTCATATTTCGGATTCTAAAATATTAGATGAAAGTAAATTCACTCTTTTCTCAATAATTAAAGTTTTTGCATGTTAATCATGAAATTCAACTATTTTGATGTTTAAAAATACTTTTCTTCTGAAGCATCTTGGTAGGATAGAGGCTTTCCCCACTGGTTTTAAAAGTTTTTGGAAAATAAGTATACATCAAAATTTTTATTATTTCATCATTGAAGGAAGCACAATATAACAAAAAGGAACAAGAATGATAAAGGGAATTATTTCTTAAGCAACCAATAAGGGAATTCAGAAAAAAGTGGTAGAAAAAGAAGATCTGTTCTTATGAAATCTTAAGAAACTTGAAAGCCCATATGCCAATAAGAACAAATGTAAGAAGAAAACAGTAAATTGTTCGCCACAGGGAAAACTGAGTTGTTTTTCAGTTAGACTTATGTCTTGTGCCGGACCATTAAATCTATTTTAGAAGAGCTGTCTGGTTTATGAGGAAACAAAACTGTAATGATGATGAAGTGGAGCTGAAATATGTTGGATTTCCCACCCAGTATTTGCCATCATTTTTGATAAGGAGATCCAATCCCATAATATTAAGGGAGGTATCCAAGGCATGTAGCTTTGAAAGAACTAGGATATTCATCCCTGTATTACAGCTCTACAGCCAACTTTCTCCTCTTTTAAAACAATACTGTGGAACATTGCACACTGGCACACCAAGTTAATTTCATACAAAGAAAACCCATACAAGATTCAAAAGTAATTTCAGTAATTGAGGTAGGAATTCTTAGGCTTGAACTGTTTGAGGGAAGCTTCAGTGAAGAAATGTTTATCAGGAACTTGAAAGGAGAACGGGGTTGATCTGGGCAGAAAGAGTATTGGCAATCCTAGGTGGATGAGAGGAAGAAAAGTCCAACAAATCGTCAAAGAATATTGATCAGACTGGTGATGTTAGACGATTTGAAATCTGTATTTTACCAGTCCACTTGAACGAGGCACATGAACTTGCTAGGTGCCAGAACCAGTGTTTTGCATAATGGTCCAGTGTTTGGTCCTCCACTTGCTTCATGTTCTTACAAAGCAACGGGGCGCAGGGACTGCAGATAACCTGTGGGGCCTAACGGTGGGATATTTGGGCCAGGCTGTTTCAGGACTATCACATTTATTGCTTACAGGCATTGTTTGTTTAGGACAGGGACAGCAGCCCTGTGTTAGGGAAATGAGGATAATGTTAGGGCCACAGAAGAATGCACTTCTGAGAGCAGTGGAGGCCAGGAGGAGTTAAGTATCAATTCCATGGAAACTCTGAAAATTCTGTAGGATGGTTATGCGTGCAGAGGCATCGAAGGCTTGGATTGGTTTAGACGCAGAAGGACATGTGTTCTGATTGGTTATGAAAAGTATAAAGGGCCTTTACGTGGGCGGGGCAGGCCCAGCCCTCTTTGTGACGGCTTAGCCACAGGTGCTGTCTCACTGGTGAGGCCCAAAGGCATCTCTGAGAGCCTGTGGCCCCGTGCAGCGGGAAGCGGGGCCATGGCAGAGGCCGCTGGGCCCAGTACTGCCCTCCAAGGCGCAGACAGAGGCGCCCAGCGGCCTGTGAGGGCACCGCGGAGTGGGGTGGAGCCCTCGGTGCTCCAAGTGTCCCAGGTTGTGCTGCGGGCCATCATGGCGCACAAGGGGCTGACGCTGACCGCGCTCCGGAAGGCGCTGGGCAATGCGGGTTACGAAGTTCGCAGGAACCTCCACCGCGTCTGCTCAAGCGCAGCGCCCGGGCCCGAGGGCAGTGGCGCCTTCCTGCGGGTGAGCGGCATCAACTCGGAAAACTGCTTCCGAGTCTGGAAGACTCCGAAGCCCAGGAAAAAGTCGGGGCGCCAGAGGCTGGCGGAGGCCGGCGTCTCCCCCAGGAGGAGTCCTACCAGGCCCCAGAAACCGCGGAGGCGCCGCACGCGTCGCCAGGCGGCAAAAAAGGCACGGGAGGTGTGGAGACGCGAGGCGATGCTGAAGCTGGAGGCGGCCAAGGCCAGGCAGCGGGCCAGAGCCAGGGCGAGGAGGCAGGAGGCCCGAGCACGCGCCTCCAGGCAAGACCCCGGGCCTGAGCCTAGTGACCAGAAGAGATCCCGCTCCAAGTTCAAAGAGGAGAAGCAAGAGGTCCAGAAGCCTGAAGCTGATAAAGCAGACCAGTCCTGCAGTAAGCCGGGCAAGGCGCGCACCAAGAGCTCCACCAAATCCCAAGGTTCCCGGAATGCAGTGGGGAGCCCATAGAGGAGAGCGGCTTCAGATCGGCAGGGCACTGACACCTTTCCCCACAGACTGCTGAGAAAGCCGCTCTCACTCTCAATGAAACTATTTACAAGACTCTGAGTGCTATGTGTGTTTCTTCTTAACTGGAAGGGGAAAGGTCCGGGTGCTCGGGCGAGACCAGCAGCAAGAACAGGTGAAGTGAAAAGAGGAAAAGAGCTGAGATTCTGTTCCTGCTGCGGGGCCCGGAGAGGAAAGAAAAGAGGGAAACCTCCAGCTGAACAGTGGTAGTGGGAAGTGTTGACGTGGTGCTCAACACGTTACCTAGCAACTCCAAACTGAGTTTTGGGGAGGAGGGCCACCTAGACAAGAGAGTAGACAATCTGTAAAGGATGGGGATTTAGCTCAGCCGGGTAAATGCCTGTCTGGCATGCTCATTTTTGTGAGTTAGGTCTCGGGTTCCCAAAACAACAACAAATAAGAAAAGCAACCTTAGCATGGTCCCTTGATCCAAAATGTTCCACCGAAAGTCCTTTATGACAAAATTCCTCCTCCAGTCAAAATTGATTATAATGATTGTATAAATTTTGCCCTGAATTGAAATTCTAAGATTTAAAAATGTCCTCAGTTAAATGAATTTTTTGAAAAGTATCCAGCAAGAGCATTGGCACAGGGTGGGTGGGAGTTAAATAGGTGTATAAATAATTCCAACTTGGAGGGTGATATACTGGAACAAACCTATACTGAGCTACACCAGTATTTAGTGAGACCAAGATTGTAGTCAAAAGTTTTACTGCTCTGACAATATTACCAAAACATTCTTAGATTCTTGTGAGATATTACACTTGCACAACGATGATTTTAGGTGATTTTAAGTGTCACTGAAGTGACAAGGGGTCTTAAACATCATGATATATACTTGACACAAAATTTAAAAATAAGAGAAATAGCTACTGGGAAAATGCTAATTCCTATAGAGGAATTAAGTGTTGTAAAATGCATATGGAAAATACAGGCAATGGAGAAAGTTAGATAATGAGTAGATATTTTTGTTTTTGTTACACCACAACATCATTAGGCACTAAAAGTTTGGAGTGACCGTAGAATTTCTTTTAGTTTGAATGGAGAGCTTAAAAATCCATGGGAGACAGTTTGTTCCTCTGGAAATAGAACACCTGTTTAAATCCGCAACAGAATGGCATGAGGATAACATCTAATTGCTAATCCTCCCCAGGGTATGTCCATCTCCCCTATACAGGTTCTAATAAAAAGGTGGTTTTGGCTTGCCCAGGATAGAGGCATAGAGTAGGCAAGCTTTGTAGACTTGTTGGGTGGCTGGTGTTAATCCTAGTCCTGTGAAAACTCAAGTGACCGTTTCTAATATAAACCTCTTCCCATATGGAAGGAATTATGAAATGTTTTTTCAGCCTTCCACTGTGTCTTGGGGAAGGAACAGTTCATTTGCTACTCATACCAGAGTGTCTTTTTAATTCCTCTTTGGTAAGGCCCACTTACCTTCTTGGACAATTTAGACTGGTTTTAATGGTTCCTCAGGAACTGGGAATAAGGATAGGGCCTTAAAGGGCTGTAATGCTGCTCTTTTTGCTCGTCAGCCTTTTGACTTCTGAAGAAGACCTCAGACATGTTCCACTGTTGCCCTTTCCAATGCATGACTACAACCTACTTGAGCAGATGAACTTCCTCTAGAGTTGTAGAATTTCCTTCCTGTTCTTTATAGATTATTGCTTATTTTTCAGTAAGCCTCTTCATTTTGAGATTGCTCCTTGGGCATGTGGCATCAGAAAGGCGTATTTGGAATGCATGTAAGTATTCAATAGCTGCCTTTCCCTAATAGCAATGCCCAAGGAAGAGGCATTAGCTCTGCCTTTTGAGCAGAGATTCCTGGGGCAAAATATTTAGTTTCAGTGCCTTATTGTGATATGATAACTTCATACTCTGCCTTTAATTGTCCTTAGACAAAGCTACTTCCATCAGTAAACCATAACCCATTAGGGCCACTGATGTCCTGCTTGCTTGCTTAGGTCTGAGAGATCACTTATTCACAAAAGTGGCTAACTTGTGGGCCTGTAGACATTGGACAGATAGGATTAGAAGTGGTACAAATTTTATAATGTGTCTAAGGTTTCTAAGAACATGGCCTGACACTTGGTAAGCCATTCTCCTTAACCACAAGTAACCTTTTGCCTCTTGAATAGTTCTGAACTAATGGGGCATCAGGACTTCTAGTATCTCTCCTAAAGTTAACTTTACAGCTTCCTGTGTATGCTCAACTATAGCTAATACTGCTCTCAGACATAGTGGTCATTACCAACCACTTCATCTTAATGTTTTTAAAATGTATGCCACTGGGTAGGGTTCTTGTGATAGCCTTTGTGTCAAGACTCCAAAACAATTCCTCTCTGTGATATGTAGAGATTGACGGGTTTTCTTAAGGTTTTGCCAGCGTTGAAGCTCAAGTAAGGGCACTGTCAGTCACTTTTGTCCACTCTTGGAAAATAGAACCAGGGTCTTTGACTACTTCCTGTAAATTCTTTGCCATTAGTCTAAAACTAGGTAGCCACACCTACAAATGCCAGCCATTCCCAGGAAAGAATAAAGCTGTTGGCAGAGGGCTCATGACTACAGATAACCTGGATCTGGTCCCTAAGCAGCTGTTAATCCCCAGGTGTAAAAACATACCCAGTTTTGGACTTTTTGGAGGGATGATTTTTTCTTTAGAAATTTTATAGCCCTTCTTAACTAGAGAATTTGTAGTGATTTAGTAGGTAATTTCTGAGTTGTGCTATAAAAGGCTGGAGGTCTTTATGTGTCTCTTCTTGGACAGTATGCTGCTTTCAGTTAGGAAGTTGGCTTGGGTCTTTTAGTCTTATAATTATTAGCTCAGTTGAATTTGCCCTACCAGATATTCCATTATACCATGCAGCAGGATCTACCTGTTTGGTAATTTGGTTAAGTAGACTTTGCGTAGTCCCAACAAGTAAAATCTTTTTGGCCTTAGCTGGAATTTGAGATTTCCCCCCAATTGTACTAGTAGATCTCTTCCTAGCAAGGGAGTAGAACACTGTGGGACAATTAGAAACTTATGGTTAAAGATCTGCCTTTAAAATTACATGTCAGAGGAGGAGTATAGAATCTCCAATTAGGGAGAGCCCCCCAAATATTGCTATAGATCTAGAGATAGGTTTTCCAGAAAAGTATGTCAAAACTGAATGAGTTGTTCCTGTGGTAATTAATAGTGGAATTTGCTCACCCTTGACATTGAAAATTACCCAAAGTTTTCAGAAGAGATGGTAATGTCCACAGACAGTGGCATTGCAGGTTCCTCTGGGTGTCTTTAGTTATGGGAACAGGAAATGAGAATTTGGGCTGGCCTAGCCCCTGTCTAGGGGCAAGGAGCCCCAAACCTCCAATGACACAATAGCTGCCTTACCTTTGGAGCAGAGCCAAGGCAGAGGGTTGGTATAGTCCCATATCCAGTGACCCGTGCTTTTGTACCGGGAACCGGAACTCTTCCTGAAGGTGTCTGTGGGGTTTTCCTTAGATGTCTTGAGAGAGTTAAAGTATTGCTGATCAGCTGGGATTGGAAGTCCCATTTAATCCAGCTATTCCACTTCTTGGCATATTCCCAGAAGAACTGAAAACATCATACCTTAGTGATATATGTGCACCCATGTTTATAGAAGCACAATTTGTAATAGCCAGATCTTGGAAACAACCTAAGTGTCCATCAATTGAGGAATGGATAAAAAGATGTGGCATTTTTATGCAATGGAGTACTACTCAGTTATAAAAAAATGATCACGTTGAGATATTTATAAATAAATGGACACAGCTTGAGACCATACTCAAAAGTGAAATAAATCAAACTCACATGTATAAATACCATATAGTCTCCATAATGTATGAAATGGTAAGAATACATAAAAGTATACAGTAATCATGATTCCTCCTTATATTGCTTTGAAGCCTTACAATATTTTCATTCATTCATTGGGATGGTTTTATTCTGGGTTGTTTGATTTTATTGTCTGTGATGGTATGAACAGCTATTTTGAAGAAAACAAGACATTATAATAGCCAGTGCTGATTTAATGTCATCTTGTTTTGAAGTCTTACCATGCTTTTGTTCTTCTGTCTCCATCAGTCCTATCATGTTGTATCTTACTGGATTTTATTATGTGTGATAGTATAAACAAAATTTTTTATGGACAAGGAGACAATATAGTAACCATTGTTCATTTTATGTTAGTTGGTTCTGAATGCCCTGTAATACTTTCATTATCTTGAATGGTTTTATACTATTTTGTTATGTTTGATACTATAGTGTATGAAGATATACTCAAATATCTCAAGGAAAGAGACACTATGGTAGCTACTGTTATGACAGGTTGTCTTGTAGTGAAATACTATGTTGCTTAAATTGTTCTGTTCTGATCTGTCATTTTATGTCCTCTTATATCTTAATCTTTTTAAAATAAAAAAGTATTGCCGATTGTACTACCTATGATCTCAGTCTTTCTCTTTTGTCCAATCTCTAGGTCCTTATTGTTGAACACAAAATTTTAGAAAGAAGCAAAAAGATGTGACTATCAAAGTTAGCTGGGTCTCCTGGCTGGCTGAGTCAAATAAATGCTATTGAGTTCTGGGGTAAAGGAGTCTCCTTTTGGAGGTGGTTTGCATGTTCTTTTAGCCTCAAAAAAAACTGAACAAACCCCCAAAAACAATGGCCAAGTTTATTTGAAAAAATTAAAAGTGAAAGGGAAGGGAACAACTCACTCTGGAAAGCAAGCTTGATTTGAGTAAGAGGAAAAAATAAAAACCAAACCAAAGCAAACAAACCAAACCAAAACAGAACAGAACAGAACAAAACAAAGCAAAAGTATACTCTAGCCACAGGGCAGGTTATCATGAAGAAAGCCATGGTAGCATGCTTTCAGTGTTGTCATCTCCTTTTATATCCTCCACACATTGCAGGAACACATGAAAACTCTACAAGTAGGGTACTGAGTATATTAAGTATGTGTGTCTGGAATCCAGTCACACTCACTCCCCAAACCAGCTTTGCCACATTCTGCCTTCCTTTAGTATCTTCCATG